CTCCCCCCACTACCCGCACTGGTACTTCTCTTGATTACATAGAAATAACAGTAACCAATAAACTAACAAGAGTAATCATTACCTTAGCAATTTAAATCTCCAGCTAAGCTTAAAGTTACCTATAGAGAAGAACGTTGAAGGATATTCTATGGTCTTCTTATAGATAGGATTATATCATCATACTTCATACTAATATTATAAATACAAAAGTTTAGATGGATTTGGTTTGTTAGAGTTTGTAGCTTAAACTACTGAACGGATTTCGATGAAATCTGGTATAGATGTAGAGGATTGTCCGGAAGAACACATAGACTACTTAATTTTGTTTTTTTTTTAATACCACGCGGACGGATCGCGGGCGAAAGCTAGTGTCAAATAAATAAATAATTATTCCATCATTGTTCAGGCACGTAAATTAAGTATCTGATATTTTAACACGGTGTCGTAACTGCCAATACGATTAAAAAGCGAGCAGTCGCGGCCGCGAGCCCTCAAATAACCCAGCCTGATTTATTGCTGGCCAGGGAGCAAATTTCTTTTACATTTTTATTTTAATTAATCTGAGTACTATCAGTTACCTATACGATTAAAATCAAATGAGAAACTTGATGATGTGTAATTAAACATCCACTTTACACGTATTCTGTTATGTTACACTTTATTAAGCGAATTTAATTAACACGCCAACGAAGGTTTCCTTCAAAGATATAGAAAATAAACACTGTTAAAATTTTATGTTGTAAAATGTCAAGTAATAACTGACCTCAGTAATACTGTGAGCAAGCAACAACTTGGAAGTTGTAGGTTGAACGGAAGTCCGCGACCCGAACCTTCGCAGTCACGAGGTTGCCTTCGAAAGGCGACTTCCGCGCCACTTTATCGCTCTAATGGCTCCTCGAGGGAGTGTATTACTGGAAGCCACCGCAAGTTATCGTTTATGTAACTTTGAGAGAGCTTTTGAAGGGATCATATAAGCACTATGTCTTGCTTTAAGCTTTAATTAAAAGTTAAAATTGAATTAATACAATTTTATATGACGTAAAGATTCTAATATGTTAAAACGTTGCTCTTCCTGGCTCTGCTACCACAATGTATGAATAACGTTTATAATGTGTGGTTGTGTTTGCGCAGCGGGCGTGAGGACGGTGGATGTGCAGGCGGTGGAGGGCATGGTGGCGCAGTTCCCCTGCGACCTGGGCACCGCCGCCAACGATAAGGTCTACATGGTCTTCTGGTTCAGAGACGATGCCGGCATTCCGCTCTACAGGTAAGACCTTACTATTCACTATCTATTTCGTTGTTTACTTTTGTAGAAAATATTTTGGTGTTAAAGGCTGACGTCGTATCAGATTTCTACTGATAATTTCTCAAAACATTCCTTTATGACAAAATTATCATATCATTGCTGTAGTAACATTATCTTTTCTATTTCATCAAAAATATTGGTATGGTATGTATACTTCGAAAATAACTAAATATTATTCGATTTCTCCGAGGACTGTTATGTTATTTCACTCTAAAATCAATTCGTCTACGAAAATCCTCTTCAGAATTCGAGAAATTTAAAATTCAGAAGCAGTACTCGAGGCTCCATGCAAAGAAGGTAATTAGTTCATAGTCGCACTTTATTTAGTGAACCAACTTATAAAACTCGTTAGCTCGACTTTAATATCAACTCGAGTTCACGCACGGAGTCCTCCAAATGTGCACTGCTCCAGTGCCAGCCGGAGAGTTGTCTACTGAAGGTGCCGGAGCTAATTTAAATGTTCAGCTCGTGTCGTAAGTTTAATTGGAAAAGACGTAGCGATGCAATCACAGAACCGGATTAAACTAGCGCAAAGCGGCTACGGCTGCTCCGATAGGCGCAAAATAAACTCCGCCCGGAGTCACGTGATTGTGCTATTTGAATATCCCATTCGCGAAGGATTAGGTTTATTGGGTCGTGAGTAAACATTATATCCCTCCGATGTTGCCTTCGAAAAAACTTAATAACATCCGAAAATCGGAATCCGACTATCACGTTAGGATATTTTTTTACAAGAAATTAAATTCATCCTAAAAACGTAATATTCCTTTATTATATATCATGACCTCAATCGTTAATATACCTTCTTACATGTTCATGATATGTAAAAAAACTTTATTAGATGTACAGATATACATATAAGTATGGGTACATGCACAGTTAGTGTTCTTACAACGGCTGTAATAAAAGGTACAATTATAAGATGTGCGAAGGTGCACTTGTCAGCTGGTGTATTCACGCTTCTAATTCCCGCGCGCGTTAATTGTGTGGAGCGAGCGGGCGGGCAGGCAGGCAGGCGGGCAGGCAGGCAGGCGGGCAGGCGGGCAGGCGGGCAGGCGGGCCTGCGGGTAGGCGGGCAGGCGGGCGAAAGGCGGGCAAATTCTCGCCGTACACATAAATCTTTCAGCGGTGTCGCGCGTCGCAAGACCTGCCTCCATTGTTGTCTTGAATAGAATTCACAATTACATGGATGTGTTTTAATGAACGGTAGGTCATACGTCTTTTCATACTCATACAAATAACTAATTTAAGACATTTAAGACTCTTTAGTTTCTTTACATAAGTTACAATAACGATTTATTCGTGTGAAGGATGCTGTAGGCTTAATAAACCATAGCTAAATAGTAGGTAATTGTTACTCGTGTTCTGTCAATCATGTAGTGTAGTGTATTGGCTCTTAACTGTACAATATAATCTTTAATGACCGTGATAGGTAATATTTTGTTACAAACAAGCAGCCGATAGTGTATTGTACATTGTTAATTAGTGGCCCGGCGGCGGCGGGCGGCGGGCGGCGGGCGAGGGACGGAGGAGAGGCGCTGCTCTTTTGGGCATCGCCATTGTGTTTTGTGCTGAATTTGCGCTCCTCGAACACAACAGCGCTTCGCTCTTAGTAATAATGTTTACGTTGTTCCGGCCCCGGAATATTTGCTTTCCGCAAAATAAATTCTTACCCATGTCATGACGTCGTTTGTGATATTGATATTTCCTTTTGTATTGCTACAGCAAATAATCATCAAAAGAAAGATATAATTAAAACAAGGAGAGTCATATTTGTTAGTATAATGCTGATTTCTATTTCTTACGTCACACGCTTTAGCGTACATTATAATATTTTTTATATTATCAATGTTTTTAAATATGCGATAAAAATATACAGAGAACTGAGATCGCGACTACATCGTTGAGGTCATATTCTCCGGCAACCGCTTTGATGGATTACACTAACTTTTGTGCTTACGTCTAAGATATTTTTATAGCAAAATTCTCCAAGGACATAGAATCGTTAAATTAAGTGGAATCATCAATCTACTTGTTATTTACGCGCAAAGTAATTTCTAATCCTCAAACAGTGTCGCCGGAGGGTCGCAATATTTCATCGTCAGGATTACAGTCTGCGGAGGATGACGCTCCTGACAGAGGGGTACTGCGCACTGTTTTATCCCACCGCTAGATTTACTGCGACCGGTACACGGCCACGGGACCGGCTTTGTTGGACCAAATAAGCGATTTGATGTTGCGGACCGTTTAGAATATTTAGGGAGCGCTCGAACTGGCCGGGGAGTGCGGGGCGCGGAGTGCGGGGTGCGGGGTGTAATGAGTTGGCGAAGTTGGGAAGTGACCGAGCACATGTCGGGAACGACGATAAATGGAGCCATTTGGACACATGTTTCAAATAAATTTAATATATGTCCTGGAATGGCAGCCAACTTTTTAGATTTCGTAACTTGTAAGTGCTTAATCCTTATTTACAGCTCATAACATGGTAATTATTGCGATAATAATCTTTACCTAAAAACATTTTGCTAAAATAAAATGTAGGCAGTAAATTCAATGTAGCTAACCGTCGCGTCGTCGTTATATTTTAATTTTGGATTTTCTTTGTCAACATAAAACATTCTAAAAGTAATTAACTTCTACCTTTAATGAGTAAAGTTATCGAGCTTAAATTTATTTAACACTTCGGTGGTACTGGTAAGCGTAAAATGGATAAAATTACATTAACGTCCAAGATAAACACCGAGCACATATTCGTGCGACTGGACCAGTTTGATTCCCCACTTCAAACACCTGTATCCTAGTTGTAGCGGGGAGCGGAGTGCGGAGTACTTGGTAGCGATTAAAGAATCTGTCTCGAGCGCACTCCATTGTTTTATAATTCATAGGTAGGAGCGAGCAGCGGCCAGCAGTACGCTAATCTCACCCGCATCAATTCAGGGACGAAGGTTACAATTAATCCGGGAGACTATTAATTATGCTTTAAGGACCACGGCTTTCCCTAACACGGATTCCTCTAAATAGATAAATGGTTTTATTAATGCAAGGGTATTACTTGCAGTAAATCACTCAGGTATTTTCAATTTATTTATATGGAATAAATGTATGTTTTAATTTAAGATATAATATCAGGCTATACCGTTGTTTCTGGGATTGTGATACTTTTGGCCATGAATATTTTTGTCTCATGAACGCCTCGACGGATCTCTGTGAAATTCGGCACAGCTGCTGGCGATATGAAGACAGATAAGCTACTTAATATAGATTTGTTAATTCCGCATGGACGGAGTCGCTGGCAAAAGCTTGTGTAGTTATACAATGAAGAAAAAATACTGCGATTTGCTCACAGCGTCTCCGAGTATAGTCGATTTGTTTAGCAGTGGTAGGGAAACATTTGTCCCTGTTACAAATATTGCTAGATTATTATTTGTTGTTGTGATTTCCGAGGGCGAGGGCTAGAGGGAGCGGGGTGCGGGGTGCGGGGTGCGGGGTGATTAATCGCGCGCGAGCAGCGCCAAGGCTGTGCGGAATGAACTTTGAGCACTCGCAGGAAATGTCGGTTATGTTATGCCGAATGATTGATACGGTTTACCTGCTTTTCGTGTTGTTCACTGTTTGCCATATTAATCTCTCTACTTGTGATTTCGAACCGTAGTTTCATAACTACGGTTAAGTTATATCCACGATTTTTTTTTTAGGTTATTATTGCGTAATACTACGATGTAATATTGAGTCAGATGATTTGTTAATAAAAGCTTGTCAGTACATATTGACCAGAACAGACAAATTCATAGTGTCATATGTATACATATTGATACTAAAATAATCAAATACATTTGTTCTTATTCTTTTGACTTTCTTAGTTATCATGAGAATGCTTTCGACTTGCTTTTAGTAATAAAGTAATTCTTCCTTAACAGTACATACGCCATCCCTGCGCGCCTGACCGCCTGCGCGCGGCCGCCTATCGCCAAAAGTTATACAAAACTAACGACACGCAGCTAGCACTTGATGGATCTCTATTACGACTCCTAAATCACTTTTATTACGCACATTAATATCTCCTAAAACAACGCTTCATTATGACTTAATATGTATTAATATTATCAGGCCTTCGAGGCTAGAAATAGTCATTTTTTATTATAAATACAAGCACATTAACTAGAATATTCTAACTATAATTTTTAATAATTTCAATTAATTATTTTCATTGTAGTCTATTTATATATATATTGTTTTCGACCAAATTTAGTTATTAGTACAGAAGTATATAAAAATTGTAGAGCTCTGCTCAATTTAACAATAGTTTTAATTGTGTGAATTACAGATTATTAAATTCGAACATTTCCACGTACACGAACACAACTTCCCTCGTATATCATATCCACGTATAATTTTAATGAAACATGTTAAGGTGGTTGTACATATATTATGAATATTACGTTCTTTGTATAATTATCTAATTACGATACGTTCGAAAATGGTACTGTATTATTAAACTTGACTGCTAATTAAATAGTATTTTTATGGGAAAGCGTCATCTGTGTAGAAAAAATTAAAAAATATCTGAATCTTTGATATTAGAACCGAATATCTTTTATATACGAATATAAAAATTGGACTGAGATATTTGACTGTGTACCTACTTTTCCAACAGTCTATTTTTTGGGTCTGTGCCAAGTTACAAGGTCAATTAGCAGAACATTCTGTTATATTTTTAAAACATGACACAAATATAAAAATTGGACTGAGATATTTGACTGTGTACCTACTTTTCTAACAGTCTATTTTTTTGGGTCTGTGCCAAGTTACAAGGTCAATTAGCAGAACATTCTGTTATATTTAGAACCATAAAAAATATACATCTTTAACAAAAGAGCATTTACATAAACACAATTACACGTATAAATTACAAAGAATTCTAGTATCATGTTATTTATGTGTTCATTAACATAAAAAGACAA